GTCTCCCAGAATCCTGTTCAAGTCCTGTAATCGCCTTCCTCCCAGAATCCTCTGCTCAGAGCCGCAAGTCCTTCTTTCTCCCAGAATCCTCTGTTCTCTCGAATCTCCCACAATCCCTTGTGTCTCCCAGAATCCTCTGCTCTGACCCGGAAGTCCTTCTTTCTCCCAGAATCCTGTTCCCTCAAATCTCCCACAATCCCTTGCGTCTCCCCGAGTCTTTGTTTACACCTCCCAATTTTTTTTTTTTAAACTTTTTTAGTTGTAGATGGACGCAACACATTTGTTTTTGTTTGTATATGGTGCTGAGGCTCAAACCCAGTGCCTCACACATGCTAGGAGAATGCTCTACCACCACTGAGCTATAACCTCAGTGCCCCCTCCCAGAATTTTCTGCTCAGATCGGCAAGTCCTTCTTTCTCCCAGAATCTTCTGTACAAAACAGTCTCCCAGAACCCCTTGCATGTCCCAGAATCTTGTTCTCACCCTCCTCCCAGAATCCTCTGCTGTGACCAGCAGGTCCTCCTTTCTCCCAGAATTCTTTTTTTTTTTTTGGAATTAGGAAGTCTTTTATTTTTTGTAGTTGTACACAATCACTGTATTTTATTTTTATGTGGTGCTGAGGATGGAACCCAGGACCTTGCACGTGTAAGGCAAGTGCTCTACCACTGAGCCACATCCCCAGCCCCCTCTGTTCTCTTGAATCTCCCAGAATCCCTTATGTCTTCCAGAATCTAGTTCTCACCTTCCTCCCAGAATCCTCTGCTCTGACTGGCAAGTCATCCTTTCCCCCAGAATTCTGTTCTCTTGAATCTCCCATAATCCCTTGCGTCTCCCCAAATCCTCCGCCATAATGCACCAGTCCTTTCTCCCAGACTACTCTGGTTGCTTGATTCTCCCATAATCCCACACTTCTCCCAGAATTGTCTGCTCACTTACTTCTCCTACAACTCTTTGCTTCTCCTACAATCTTATTCTCACTTTTCTCCCTGAATCCTCTGACCTGACCTGCAAGTCCTTCTTTCTCCCAGAACCCTCTGTTTCTCCCACAAGCCCTTGCTTGTTCCAGAAGCCTGTTTCCTTCATTCTCCCACAATCCTGTTTGTGCTTCCTAACCCTAACCCTAACCCTTTCTAATACAAGGTGGGCAAAGCTTCCAACAGGAGATGTTGGAGAACTCAGAGGTTGCCTTCAAGGCCCTTTATTTCACTGCTTCTGAAAAAACATCATGTCAGCATGGACTTTTCCCTTTTTCCTCTGCTACCTGCAAAATTTGTTCTCTCAAGCCACTGTAAGGCAATCATCTCCCTCTTGTAGGCATCTTGTGAAGCACCTTGCAGTTTTCCAGCTGCCTGTCCTCCAAGTAGTGCCTCAGAGAGCTCAAGAACTGGACATTGTGCTACTTCCCAATGCAACCAGGGAAGCTTTCCTTGCATAGCAACCTGCTTTCCCTTCACTTCCCTCTGAAAGTAACATGTGGTGGTCCTTGGCTTGTGATCGCTAGGAGAGCATCCAAGAGAACCCACCCCAGAGCCTTGGGCTCTCTTGGGTAGGTCAGGTGTAGTCCGACACCTTGAAGCCTCTGGGCCCAGGTCTTGTATGCTTTTCCAAGGCTCATCCAGTGTCCAGAGCTTCAATGCTTCTAAGGAATTCAAGATATGAAGGCATAGGAAATATCCAGTATACATCCAAATCTAAGTCTATGTGGGGCTGGGAGGTTCCCAAGAAACTTTCTGGACTTGTAAAGCTCATTAAAGGGGCCATTTGCAGGGTGTTGGTCCTTTGGCATCTTGAGGCCATTATCACTTGTATTTCCTACAGGGACTTGAGATGTTCACAGACTTTGCACCAATACATAATTCATCAACACCCTCCAACATCCTTGTTTAACTAACTTCTCAGGGTATTCTCTGAGAAGATCTTTTAAAACTAGAAGAGAATACCCATGGAAATCCAGATCTGCTTCAAAACCCACAGCTGCAAGCACCCACGTAACTCAGACAGGGCTGGGCTTGAGTGGCTCTCTGCCAGCAATATTTGCTTCAAGAAAGTTGTCATGAATAGATATTCTTCCTCCATGAAGCCCCAGGGGAGGAACGAAAGACGAGGAAGACCTCAAAGCCATATAACCCACAGCATGTCCCGGGTGTGAGGTCACCAGGGCTTATCCTTAGCTAGACCTTGATCACAAGTCACCATGTGACACGCAGCTGAGTCTTCCTGAAAAGGACCACAGCAATCCCACACAACTTCTCAGAAGCCTGGGCTGTCCTCATAAAAAAGTGGGCAACCCTGGTAAGAATCAACTCTTTGTCAAGTGCCACCAGTCCCTCCACCGGGAATACTCTTCTGGTACCACGTGTGTCTTTCAGAAGTCTCCCAGCTGGTTCTTGGTAACTCAGTCCCACAGAAGGTCTACTCTCATCTCTGTGGGCAAACCAAACTCTCCTTAGGATTTGCCTGTAGATGTAGCCCTGCAATGTCACGACTTTCACCCACCATTTCAATTCCTTTGCCTTTGAGATCATGCTGGGTCCGACTTTCTCTCACCTACATTCTGCTAAACTCATCTTCATCAAACCCTGGGAGGAAGATCTGAGTGCTGTTTCCTTCACAGTCCACAGTCGGTTTACATGTGTTTATATTGGAGGAATGCTGAAAATCACACTTGCCTTTTTATTTCTTAATATTTTTTAGTTGTCAATATACCTTTATTTATACGTGGTGCTGAGAATCAAACCCAGTGCCTCACACCTGCTAGGCAAGCACTCTTCCACTGAGCCACAACCCCTAGCCCACACTTGCCTTCCTTTAAAACTGCTTGATCCTGTTTTTCTTCGGAGTAGTCTGAACTAATCCTCCCACACATGAATGCTGTATCCAAGTGATGCTGAGGCACTTACCCGACTGTATTTATCCATTCAATATGTTTATTGAGCACCTTCTGTGTGCCAGGTGTTTAGACATTAGGGACACTGTGATAACTCAAATTTACTGTCCAGAGACACTCCATTCTAGGGGTAAAGACAGAGTGAGAAAAAATGGAAATAAATCTGTAATATTAATTCTACGAAGGGAGACCTCGCAGGAAGAGGGGTGCGAGAGTGGTCTCAGATAGGCTGACCCTGAAGTGTGTCTGGGGAAAAGGTAACATTTGAGCTGAGATTTGAATTTAGTGTAAACTAGAGATTTGCAGGTAGAGAGATAGAGATAGAGAGAGAGAGAGAGAGAGAAAGAGAGAGAGAGATATGCAAAGACACTGGGGCAGGATCAAGCTGGGATGGGGGGAGGAGGGAGAGAGGATGAATGAATGAATGTAGTGTGCCTGCATTCATTTGTGGGTGAGGAGAGAGACCCGAGAGGAGGCTGCAGAGATCAGCAAGGCCCATTGATGGGGGGCCTGAAGGCTTTCATTAAGGGCACTCACTTGCCACATAGAGTTGAGGAGGTCACACATTGCATCTTCCACATCAGTATGGAAGCAGACACTCCTGGGGTAGGTATGGGATGAAAGAATAATTGTGCCATTTGTGGCAAAGGGTCGCCCCACCACAAATGTGGAAGGTGTGCTAGTGGAAGGATGAAACAGACCTTTACATTGTTGGGGAGGGGAGGGGCAAAGATTCCATGTGGATTCAGTGAGCAGCTCTCCTCCCTCAGCACCTCCCTCCACCAATGGGAAACTTCCTTTCTTTTGATGGTGGGAACAGAAACAGCCATCAGGACCCAGTATGCAACAGTCCATGCCTGGTCAAACTTTGTTTGCTTAGGGCCTTGCTTTGGCCGAGACTGGCTTTGAACTTGCGATCCTCCTGCCTCAGCCTCCCAAGCTGCTGGGATTACAGGCGTGCACAACTACACCTGCGTACCAGAATTTTCTTAAGGTTGACTGTAGGCAGTTTCCTGTAGCACTCAGGTAGCAGTTAATTATCAACTGCACTAGATGATTCTGCAGGATTTGATTCATCATTGGGAATGATTTGATAAAATGAAGATGAACTGTACCGTAGTTTTTTTTTTTTTCCTCCTCCAGACCAAACACTAAGACATTTCATTTATGCACACTTGGTGTGTTGCCGAGTCCTCAGGGCATTTTCTGCAGCTGGAGGAAAAACCTTCAAGAATGCAGGTGCCATCAGAGTCTTCTCTTTTCCTCTCCAGCTTCTGATGCCAGCACCGTTGAAATCCATACTGCAAGTGGGTCCCGCAAGGAAAATGACGTTGACATGGCTCACCCAACTCAAGGACACCTGTGAAGGGATGTGACTTGGGTCTGGACTCTGTGGTCCTGAGGCGGTACTCATCCCTGGTCCTCTAGAAGTGCGTCCTTGCTGCCCTCTCATTGCATGGCCAAAGCACGGCATCTCTGAAGTCCCACTCTTATTACTGAGTTAGAGCTTCCTCCCGAGTATCCTCTTCATGCCAGGAGACGCCATTCCACATGGACGGGCTTGGGAACGGAAGGATTCCTTCTAGACCACTCTGCCTAGTTGGCATTAGCAGTTCTGAGGCTGGCTGTAATGTGAAGTGCAAGATCTGTGTCTTTGGGGAAGTGGTTACATAAAATAAAGTAATTGTGACTGAGCCCCCAGTCCGACTCGGATGGTATCCAAACAATATACCCAACAGATGCTCTTCCTGCCAGTATGAGGGATGCCAAAGAGCAGTAGAGGACCATAGAGCTGCATGGCATAGCTTTGATCCCAAAATTCCCATGTCATATTGAAAACTGAGATTAAGGAATCCATGGAACCTGACCTGTACTTACAGCACTGCCTACATCTCCACCTTTCCATCCGTTAAAATTTCATCCATCAATTACTTATCTAGAAAAGACACTATTTTTCAAAGGTGCTGTAGACATGTGTCCCACGGGACCTCCCTTTGAATCTAGATTAGGACTCCCTTTCATTCTAGAAAAGCTGTCCAGATTTTGGAGTCACAAAGCTGCAGGTGGATTCGGAGTTCACTGCGACCTCAGGGCGATTTTTGCTGCATCTCCTAAGGGGAGAGGGACCATGCACACCTTGACCAAAAGTCCGGAGGGGTAGAGGTGTGAAGGAGGTTTGAGTTTCCTGGGGGGCAACTGTGTGGTTGTGTCAGTCGACTGTGTTTACCTCCATGGCATTGGCCCCACAGACTGATTTTGGCTGCTTCTCTCTGTGCAGCCCCCGATCTGATGCTCCAGTCCTTAGAGCTGCCAAGTACCCTTCTCATTGGCACGTTAGGTTCTGCGGCTGGCAAGTAAGAACCCCGAGTGGCCCGCTTCCCGGTCACAAGTCCTCCTAGCTGGTGCGTCAAGCAGCTAGCTGACACTCCCAGCATGGCGGCTCTGACTGGGATGAGCTCCGATGAGGATAAGTGGAGAGTTCCTCCCATCCTGGCTGCTGACCAGATGGAAGAAAGAACACTAGAGATAGGACTTCAGGAAACGCAGAGATAACAGTGGGCACATCAACAACAGAGACAGCCTGGGTTTTGAGCCCTTTTCCTATGAGGCTGGAGGCATGTCCATTTGCTGTTTTATTATTTAAGATGCCAGGTGCTACAGTAGGGAGGCTAGGGGAAAGCGATCCAGTGGAAACAGCCATGCTGGTGAGGATAGGAGAGCAGGGATACTTCCAGGAGGGAAGTTCTTGAGGTGGGAGGGTATTGGGATCTGGAACCAAGGGGCTGGGTGGTCTGTGAGGAGACCATGACAGAGGCAGAGCTGGGAGGGGGAAGATGAGATGGTGCCCCTCAGATAGCTCCCACTGGACTTTAAGCGGGCCAGTTTATTAGCCCATTTATTCACTATCGTGAAAAAAAAAATTTGTAGTTAGGTTGGGTGCAGTGCTGCCCAGCTGTCATTCCTGAGGTAGGAGAATCACAAATTCCAGGCCAGCCTGGTCAACCTTGCAAGACCCTGTCTTAAAATAAAGGGTAAAAGGGCTTGAGGAGCAGCCCCTGGGCTCAATCCCCAGTTAAAATCAAACAAACAAAACCATTAGTAGTTGGCTCCTATCCCCCAATTTCGCAGAACGCATCAATATCAACGTCTACAGTTGTGTAGCTACTACAGAATCTAGAGACCCTGCCATTTTCCTGGGCAGTCTCTAAGGGTTTGAGGATAACTCTCTTCCTGACCAACCACCCATTCTCCAGAGAACCAACTTCAAAATTTTAGCACACGAGTTCTTCCATTTCCACCCTCCCTACAGTCTAGTCTGCTCTGGGCCCTGTCCTGTTGACAGTATTCTCCAGGCCGGCCGGCGGGCTCTGGGCTGGCTTACCCAAACTGTCCATGAGATGCTTCACAGACAGAGCACCCAGACCAAGGGAAAACAAAATTAGTTCATTCAAATCTGGATTCTTACATAGAAGGGCCTAAGACTAGCTCCACTCCTTCTTCCCCCTTCTCCCACACTCCACCAAGTGACGCCCAGCTAGAAATCAAGATGCGGCACGCAAACGTGCCCGGAGCGCTTTCTGTGATCACGAAGGCTGTCCGTAAATATCTTTTAACAATGGCACTGACCCGGGGGGGTCTAGCCCACATACACAGGGGATTTTAGCCCAGATCACAGGGATCCATGTGGTCTTGCTGCCAACCAGCATCCCACTTCAGTCAGTGCCCGGTCAGCTTCTCTGCGCAAGCCCAGCTCGTCTGGCCTGTGTTTCTTGGGTCCACGGCAGCTCAGGGCCAGTCCTCAGACCCAGGTCTGGCCTGTTCCAGAACACTGCTACATCCTGGCCTTCAGACACCCCCACCCCAGTTAAGGGGCAATCCCGGGAAGAGGCAGTTATTTCCATAAAAGACAAAATTCTGTATCCATTGATCAGTGTCAATGTGGGAGTTACCCAGACAGACGGAGAAACCACAGGCACCCAGATCTCTAATATCAAAATAGAGCAATTTATTCAAGACACTGAATATGATCTGTCGATTCTCTCTTGAAACAAATGAGCTATGACACACAAGGTGATTTTTGTTTTTTTCTTTCCCAAGAGCGTGAGGAGTGAGTGGCGGGGAGTAGAGAAAATGGGGGACAGATATTGTTTAACAGAATCTGGAAAATGCTGACGGAGAACCACGTCTGGCTGTACGTCTGACACAGACAATAACAACTGCAGAAGCCAGAATCTAAAACTTCAGTGAGTGGTGGAAGAAACATTTCTGCATTTGACGAGAAACACAATGATGAAAGAGAGAGCAGGAACAAGAGGTTAAAAAAGGGAGAAAAATAACAAGGAAAAAAAGCAGATCTTTACGTTGGACAAAGTGCACTTCACTTGGCTCCATCATCTATTTTTAGAAAGAACAAAAAGTCAAGTCCTACGGTGTGGAGTGGAGTCAGAGCGTCAAACCCTGCAACGTCCATCTGGCCCTTCCAGGCCCCCGTGGGGCCGCTCTCGCCTCCCAGGTAGATGCTGGACACGGCTCTTGGTCAATTTGAACCCCACCAAAGATTCCAAAGAGGATTACCGCATCATGTCTGCTTTCAAGGTTAGATTTGGTCACTAAGACTTAAGCATTCCTCACAATTATTAAGAGCTGTAAACAACGTAGAACAGTAATTGCATGATACACGGGCCACCCCTTGACTACAAGGATGAATCTAATGGCGCTCTGGCAGGAGGGTGAACAATGGTCTGCAGACGGGGAGGTTCCACAAATTGCTGTCAACCATGGTGTTCTGTGGGTGGGGGATGGACTTCAGGGGCACAAGATGCATGCCCCCGTCTGGTCCCCTGGTGGCCCATGCTCACTCGAGTCCAGTGGCTAGTTGTGAAGCAGGAAGGTGGGCAGGGTGCTTTGTCCTAATCGGGCTCCCTCTTGTGCAGGAACTTGTCACGAGCCTGCATCCCTCAGCTCCCACCAAACAATTCTGATGAGGCTCAGAATCATCGAGGGGCTAATGAGACCCTGGCTACCGACATCCATGCGCAGATTGTCTAGTGAGTCCCTGACATAGCCCATGGCAGTAGAGGGCTTGTCTAAGGAGCCATATCCCAGCAATGGGCTAACTTTGGACAGCTGGTATTCTGTAGAGAGAAACATTTTTACTTGGGGAACAGTAAAGATGGTGTTTATCTGGATCCCCAAAATCTGCACCCCAAACCTAATGCATCTTCAGGGCAGGAGCTTATCAACTTATTGGGGGACACCTGCTCTGTTCAATGATGACCCATGCAACTTTGGCTTTCTTTGCCGAGTATTTAGGTGCCACAGCTGGAACACGACACTCAATAGCACGAGCACCTCTTGGTCTTTCTGGGCTTGCAAAATTCACCTACCAAAGTGGAGGCGGTCTGAGGAGGATTAATGCACTCTGGTATCTGCAGACGGCCTCCGAGCATGCTCAATTGTGCAGGAAGCCCCTGCTCTTCGTGATGGGTGACTTTGGGCTCCATGGAGAGATGCATCCGTCTGAGTTACACCCTGCTTCAGCTACAGGAACACACAGCTGAGTGAAATCAGCCCCCTAGGCTTCTCCATAGCCTCACCAACATTTCCTGCCCTTCCCTACGCCCACAGGAAAATCAGAGGGGAGAGGCCCTGTCTTTCCATCTGTTCCCCACTTGCTAATTTAAAATCGGTGTTAAGTTGTGACGAGGGCACTACAGTCACCTGATCCCACGACAGCAAACCTTGCTAGGAACACAAAAACTTGTTTAATTTTTTTTTTTTTTTTAAATAGTAAAGACCCATTTTAAAACAAAGGCAACGAAAACTCCCCACCCTTTTTCTAGTCTCTTGTGAAAGAGAGGATAAAGCCCGTAGAAGTGGTTAGTAACATTCTACCTAGGTAATGATTCGCCTTCGGGAATGACAGTCTTTCTTCCGTGATATTTTGCGTCTTCTCTAGACCGAGGTGCGCTCTGGGGAGCCTTCAGGTCTACTTGGCAAGTACTTTCCCAGTGTGTGCTCTTGGCGAGGTGAACACCGGAGCTATATTTCTGGGGAGAAGGCGTAGGTGACAGCAGAGGCCGGCTGTCGGTTTGGAAGCCTCCCTCACTTCTTTCGCACCAGCTGATAATGCGCAGGACCGTCCTTCTTGCACCCAAGGTCTTCCTAAATGCCTTCCACGCAGCTGACGGAAAAGGGGCGAGACCCCTCGGCTCCCCGTGACCTTTGGCCTTTTTTTTTTTTTTTTTCCTTTTTAAATATGAATCACAAAGCTCTCTCTGTCTGATGGCCATTTTAGGATTTTAAAATCGTTTAAACATAAAAATATTTCTTTTTTTTTTCCAAAAATACTCCAGGCTCTTTCTCTTATAAGTCATTTTTTTTTTTTTTCTCCTGTAAAAAGTCCCCCTCCCTGCCTTCTTACATAAAGCACTTATTTATGCGCCAAAAGTGCCCTTGAGACCCAAGACGTGGAGCAGCTATGGGTGACAGAGGGGGGCGGGGCAGTGGACGGGCGGGGAGAGAGCTGTCCCTCAAGGCTTTCCTCATCATGTCACCCTGTCCCTGGCCGCGTGTGTCTGTATGTGTGTGGGTGGCTGGGTGGGTGGGGGCATGAAAAGGGAGGGAGACGGGACCAAAGCGAATGGCGCAGGGGCAAGGACATGACCAAGGGGGAAAGAAGCAACGAACCCCAGACAGGTTCCACCTCACGTGGAAGGCCCCGGACCACAGAATTCCCGTGGACAGAAAAGACACCCAACAAACCAGGTTCTAGAAAACGGGGCTGGGAGGACAAAGTCGCGCGCCCCATCAGTCCAAACGGTGTCCGAGCAGCCTTTGTGGGAGCGACGTGGTGTCCAAATCGACTCGGGGACCCTAAGGAGGCGGTCCCCACCTTTGGGTTGATCACAGCATAATTTTTTTTTTTTTTGGCACAGCTTCTTTCACTACCCCCTTCCCATTAAGCCCCAAGAGCCCACTCGGGATGGAAACCGACCTCCTCCTTCCCTGGCTCAGACGGCCCGGGCGGGACCCTCCCCCAGGGCTCTCGGTCTGCTTTTGTTTATTCAACTTCAGGATGAAGATGACGAGAAAGAGAGAGAGAGACTCCCGCGGCCAGGGACAAGTTGGTTTCACTCTAAGTGCACAAGTCAAGCTCGAACACGGTTGGAGCCGGTGGACGGGGACAGAGCGGCGACCCCGCGCACCCACGGCTGCTCCCTCAGGATCTTTTTCTCCTCTCCTAACGTTCATTGTGTTTACTTCCGCAGATCTAACACACACACCTGGAAGGAAAGATGAAGCACCTGTTACCTTCAGAAACGGCACGAATACGCCCACCAGAAGTCTAGATTCTACCCCCTCGCTTCCCCCAGTTCCTTTAGGAGCTCGATTCTCCCACCGTCTTTTGTATCTCCCACAATCCCTTGCATTTCCACAATCGTGTTCTCACCTTCCTTCCAGAATCCCCTGCACTAACCTCCAAGCCCTTCTTTATCCCAGAATCCCTTGCTTCTCGCACAATGCTGTTCTCACCTCCCTCCCAGAATCCTTTGCTCTGGCCCACAAGTCCTTTTCCCCAGAATCCTCTGTTCTCTTGAATCTCCCAAAATCCTTTGCTCCTCCCAGAACTCTGTTCTTGCCTTCCTCCCAGAATCCTTTGCTTTGACCTGTGAGTCCTTTTCTCCCAGAATCCGGTTCTCTCAAATGCCCCATAATCCCTTGCTTTCCCTATAATTATCTTCTCACCTTCTTCCCAGAAACCCCTATTCTGACCAGCTAGTTCTCCTTACTCCCAGAATCCTGTTCTCCTTCCTCCCACAACCCCTTGCTTCTCCCAGAACCCTAAGGCACTTAATTATACCACAATCCTGTTCATATTTTCCTCCCAGAATCAGCAGTGACACAAAGCTCTTCTTTCTCCCAGAATCCTCTGGTAGCTTAATTATCCCATAATCCCATGCCTCTCCCAGTATGCTCTGTTCCTTAATTCCAACAATCCCTTGCTTTTCCTAAATCCTCTTACCTTCCTCTCAGAACTCTTTGCTCTAACCAAATAGTCCTTCCTCCCAGAATCCTGTTCTTGCTCCTCCCACCATCCTTTGCTTTTTCCTATAATCCCTTTACCTTCCTCCCAGAATCCTCTCCCTGCCCCACCAGTCCTTTATCCCACAATCTTCTGGTAGCTGATTGTCCCATAATCCCATGCTTCTCCCACAATCCTGTCCTTAACTCTTCCACAATTCCTTGCTTTTTCTACAATCGTCTCACCACCTTCCCAGAATCCTCTGCCCTGACCCACTAGTCTTTTCTTTCACAATCCTCTTCTTCCATAATTCTTTTTCAACCACGATCCTCTTTATTACTCCCAGAATCCTGTCATGACCCACAAAACCTTTCTCCTGGAATTCTCTGGTCACTTGATTCTCCTGCAATCTCGTGCCTCTCCCAGAAACCAGTTCACTTATTTCTCTCACAATCTTCTATTTCTCCCACAAGCCTGTTCAGACCATCCTCCCAGAATCCTCTGACCCGACCCCCAAGTCCTCCTTCCTCCCAGCATCCTGTCCCTTAATTCTCCCACAATTTCTTGCTTTTCCTATAATTCTGTTCTCACCTTCCTCCCAGAATTCCCTGCTCTGACCGGCTAATCCTCCTTACTCCCAGAATCCTGGTTCTCCTTCCTCCCACAACTCCTTGCTTCTCCCAGAACCCTCTGGCCCTCAATTATCCCTCAATCTTCTTCACACCTTCCTCCCAGAATCAGCTGTGACACACAAGCCCTTCTTTCTCCCAGAATCCTCTGGTAGCTTGATTCTCCCACAATTTCTTGCTTTTCCTACAATCCTGTTGTCTCTTTCTGCCCAGAATCCTCTGCCCCAAACCCGCAAGTCCTCCTTTCACCCAGAATCCTCTGTCCCAGGACCTGCAAGTCCTCCTTCCTCCCAGAATCCTCTGCCCTGGGACATGCAAGTCCTCCTTCCTCCCAGAATCCTGTCCCTTAATTCTCCCACAATCCCTTGCTTTTCCTATAATTTTATTCTTACCTTCCTCCCAGAATCCCCTGCTCTGACCAGTTAATCCTCCTTAATCCCAGAATCCTGTTCTCCTTCCTCCCACAATTCCTTGTTTCTCCCAGAACCCTATGGTTCTCAATTATCCCACAATCCTGTTCACATCTTCCTCTCAGAATCAGCCACGACACACAAGCCTTTTCTTTCTCCCAGAATCCTCTGGTAACTTAATTTTTCCATAATCCCACGCCTCTCCCAGTATCCTCTGTTCCTTAATTCCAACAATCCCTTGCTTTTCCTAAATTCTTACCTTCCTCCCAGAACTCTCTGCTCTGACCAACTAGTCCTTCCTCCCAGAATCCTGTTCTTGCTCCTCTCACAATCCTCTTTTCCCTATAATCCTTTTACCTTCCTCCCAGAATCCTCTCCCTGCCCCAGTCCTTTCTCCCACAATCCTCTGGTAGCTGATTGTACCATAATCCCATGCTTCTCCCACAATTCCTTGCTTTTCCTATAATCTTCTCACCTTCTTCCCAGAATCCTGTGCCCTGACCCACTAGTCTTTTCTCTCACAATCCTCTTCTCCCATAATTCTTTGTTTCAACCACAATCCTCTTTTTTATTTCCAGAATCCTGTCATGACCTACAAAACCTTCTTTCTTCCAGAATTCTCTGGTCACTTGATTCTCCTACAATCTCGTCCCTCTCCCAGAAACCAGTTCACTTATTTTTCTCACAATCTTTTACTTCTCCCACAAGCCTGTTCAGACCTTTCTCCCAGAATCCTCTGGCCCGACCCCCAAGTCCTCCTTCCTCCCAGAATCCTCTTCCCCCACCCCCAAGTCCTTCCTCCCAGAATCCTCTGCCCCAACCCCCAAATCCTCCTTCCTCCCAGAATCAGCCGTGACACACAAGCCCTTCATTCTCCCAGAATCCTGTGGTAGCTTGATAATCCCATAATTCCATGCTTCTCCCAGAATCCTCTGGTAGCTTGATTCTGCCACAATTCCTTGCTTTTCCTACAATCCTCTCTCTCCTTTCTGCCCAGAATTCTCTGCCCCCGGACCTGCAAGTCTTCCTTTTGTCCAGAATCCTCTACCCCAGACCTGCAAGTCCTCCTTCCTCCCAGAATCCTCTGCCCTGACCCCCAAATCCTTCTTTCTCCCGAAGCCTGTCCCTTAGTTCTCCCACAATTCCTTGCTTTTCGTATAATTCTGTTCTCACCTTCCTTCCAGAATCCCCTCCTCTGATTGGCTAATCCTCCTTCCTCCTACAACCCCCTGGCCTTCAATTATCCCACTCTCCTGTTCACATCTTCCTCCCAGAATCAGCCATGACACACAAGCCCTTCTTTCTCCCAGAATCCTCTGGTAGCTTGATTCTCCCACAATCCCTTGCTTCTCCCTGAATCTCTGGTAGCTTGATTCTCCCACAATTCCTTGCTTTTCCTACAATCTTGTTTTCACCTTTCGCCCAGAATCCTCTGCCCCGGACCACAAGTCCTCCTTTCGCCCAGAATCCTGTCCCTTAATTCTCCCACAATTCCTTGCTTTTCCTATAATCCTGCTCTCACCTTCCTCCCAGAATCCGTTGCTCTGATCCATTAGTCCTTTCTCCCACAATTCTTCTCCCATGATCCTTTGTTTCACCAATTCCCTTCTTCCCTCCCTCCCAGAATCCTCTGTCAAGACCTATCTCCTAGACTTCTTTGGTCACTTGATTCTCCCACAATTCCTTACCTCTCCCAGAGTTATGTTCATTTATTTCTCACAATCCTTCTCCCACAACCCATTTCTCCCCTTCCTTCCAGAATCCTGTATGTTGACCCCAAATCCTCCTTTCACCTAGAATCCTGTTCTCTATTCCTCCTGGAACCCCTTGGTTCTCAGAATCCTCTGGCTCTTAATTTCCCCTCAATCCTGTGCTCCCACCTGCAGGTCCTCCTTTCTCCCATTATCTCCTGTTCTCATTTCTCCCACTGACCCCTGGCTTCTCCCAGAATCCTGTTCCCTTGATTCTCACAATCCAGTTCTCATTTCTCCCGTAATCCCCTGTATCTTCCACAATCCTGTTCGCACCTTTCTCCCAGAACCCCCTGCTTACACCTGCAATTCTTTTCTCTCCCCCAGAACACAAGTCTGTGTGTGGCTCGCAGAGCGCCTGCCGTGTGCTGGAGTTCCAGGACTGGGAGCCTGGAAGTTCCCTGGGTGTCCCCCACCCACTCTAGTCCCCAGCAACCTGAGGTGCCACTCACAGAGCCATCGGACGCACTGGCGCCCACTTTGTCTCCTCGAGCGTTCCAGCACACCTCGAAGATGCCACCTGTGCCCCGGTAGCTGTGGACGAGACTTCCACTCTGCAAAGGAAAGCAACCGTCACTTGCCAGGCGAGGAGGCCCGCCAACTGGCAGGAGGACAGTGGTCACTCCTCCTCACCTGTCCCCACTGCCCATCACAAAAATGCCCTACTGTGGAGAGCTAAAAAGGACTTCCACTCGACACTGGTGGCTGTGGACATGTAACCCTCAGACCACCAACTCTGAAGGATGGGACTGCTCCCCGACCCCCAGAGCACTGGCCATGGCTGTCCTCAGGGGGTGCGGGGAGCCTAGGTCAGCTGGGGCTGTGGGCCGCACGCATGTGCCTCAGGGACTACCCACTGGCTCTTAGAAAAAAAAAAAAGTTGGAAACTTCTTACTAAAGACCGATGTGATATTTTATACCTTTATTTATTTTTATGTGGTGCTGAGGATCGAACCCAGCGCCTTGCACATGCTAGGAGAGTGCGCTACTGCTGAGCCCCAGCCCCTAGATTTCTCTTTTTAATGGCACTTGGGATGGAATCCAGGGCCTCCTCCCACGTGCCTGGCTAGACCTCTAACGCTGAGCTGTGACCTTGGCCCTTTCCTTGCTGACCCCCTTCCTGGGGGTCACACCAACCTCGTGGTCCGAGTTCTCCCTGGAGTCTCTTAACATGTCATGAAGTTACTCCCTGGACAAGTAGTTTGAAAGAACAGACGCATGCCCCTTTGGTCCCGGGGTGCCAGCTAAGACCACGGGCTATTAGCTTCTGGTGGGAACCAGACAGCGTTAACTTGACAAGCGCCAGAGAGGTGTGAAGCAGGTGCTGGGGAGACTCCAATAAACCCTCAACACTGGACTGGTTACAGTGGGAGATATCCCAAGACTGGGCCAATGGGCTGTCATCAAGCAGAGTCTTTAAAGGGTGGTATCACCCCAGGGGCCCCCCGTATTTTGTTTTTATTTCTTGCCCACATCGGTCTGGTCCTACACACATTTACTTATGCACACGTATACACGTGCATAGATGGCATCATCAACCTTATTATTTGCAGTGCTAGGGACTGAACCCCCAGGGTCTCTTGCATACCAGGTAAGCGCTCCACCACTGAGCCATACCCCAGCCCCTCCATCTCTATTAAATGGCAGCAAAATGTAATGGCCGGGTCCCAGTTGGCTGGTGCCCTTGGACTGCTGAGATGAAGGGACGCCTCCCACCACCCTCCACCAGGGGGCAGCCTTTCCAGCTTTCCCCAGAGCACTAAGGACGGCAGCTCCTTGCAGGTGGTCTTCCAAGATGACAAGCTCAGAGCTTGGCTCCGAGTCAAACGGCCTAGAACTCTGGGGACACCTCCTGGAGGAAGGGACCTGCTCTAGGCTTCGGGGAGGGGAAGACCCCACGCCCTCGGGAGCACAAGGCAGGCAGCACACTTGGCCTGGGGAGTCCAGCCTTGCTGTCTGCTTTAGGCAGTCCTAACGGAGTCACTGCTGCAAGCTGGGGTCACCGAAAACGTGGGCCTTGAGGCGCTGGTTTGGGGAAGGTTGGGGCCGCAGGGCTGCGAGGTTACCTGAGTATTCCAGATATGGACACACTTGTCAAAGGAGCCACTGGCCAAGTATTTGCCATCAGGACTGAAGGCTACACTGTAGACAGGTTCCTGATGTTTGGTTAGTGTGTGGATACAAACGCCCCGCTCCACATCCCACAGTCGGACCGTAGAATCGAACGAAGCACTGGGAAGAGAGCGCACAAAGCACAAGCAGGTCAGCAGGGCGGCTTTGCACAGATCTCGACGACGCCTCACGGACTCTCAGAAGCCTTTACCTCCAGCCTCTGCCGTGAGTGAACAACCAACCAGAGCGCACTCTCTCTTCTGGACTGTAAACTCAAAGACACTAGAGGGAGCTTTTCTTTGGCGCTGTTATAAGGGAAACAAATGGATACTCATTGACTTCCTGTTTCTCTTTCGCATTGCTCAGAGTCAAATCCAGCTCCTGGCCGAGTTGCCCAGGTTGGCCTCAAACTTGCAATCCTCCTGCCTCAGCCTCCCAAATTGCTGGGATTACACGCATATGTCACAACAGTGTTCTTCTAAGCATTAGGGCTGCGGGTGTAGTTCAGTGGCAGAGCACTTGGCGGGTGTGCAAAGGCCCTGGGTTCCATCCTCAGGACTACAAGCAAACAAACCAAGAGGGGACTGCCACATCCCTTGGGGTACAGTGTGCATCAGGATGCAGCAATTCTGTGGCCTGAAGCCCTGCCTTTTGGGAAGGCCACCTTTGTTCCTGATGACCACGCTTTCCCAGTTCTGGTATCTTAGAAAATTCACTGTCAAATGTTGGGGCAGGCAGATCTGGCTGGAGCTGGGGAACCTCTGATCTCCACCCCAAATTCCTGCTGCTAGGAGCTCTGAGTGGGGTGCAGCAAACCCAGGTCTAAGCTGAAGGCTTTCAGGTTTGTTATAGTAAAGAATTTGTGCTAAAGCCAAATTCCTGAGGCCTGACACAGACGAGATTCCTTCTACTAGACTCACAGCTAAAGCAATGGGGCCTCCTATGATTGAGCTAGCCCTTCACATCTGCAAGGGGGTGCAACGGCAGATTCCATCAACCACAGATCAAAAACAACTAGGAAAAAGACTGCCGATACTGAATATGCCACGGTCCCTCAACAATGCCGTCTAACAGTGGCTCATGCATTTAGACAGCATCAGGTATCAAGTGAGCTATTCAGGATGTGAAGTTCTAGACAACGTGCACAGGTTATATGCCAACAGTATATCCAGAGACAACAGTATTATCTCGCTGGCATCTTCAAAATGCAGTAGCGTTCTGTCTAGCTGGATGGGCTTCAAAACACTGGGGACACACCAGCAAAATCCTCTTTTTTGCTCAAGAGTAAATTAAGCCGGGCGCAGCGGTGCATGTCTGTAATCCCAGCCACTTAGGAGGCCAAGGCAGGAGGATCACAAGTTCAAAGCCAGCCCCAGCAAAAGCAAGGTGCTAAGCAACTCAGCGAGACCCTGTCTCTCTACAAAATACAAAATAGGGCTGGGGATGGGGCTCAGTGGTTGAGTGTATCTGGGTTCAATCCCTGGTACCAAAAAAATCAAGGGTGAATTAAGGCTGCATTCCAGAGGGGAGACGGGAGCATGCGGGCTGGATCCCCTTACCTTGCTAACATGATGTTGGAGTTTGGGTTGCTGGTGGCTGGTCCCGTGGGACTCCACTTGATGGTGTAGATCTCTTTGCTGTGAGCCTGAAGATCATGGACACACGTGTCTTGCTTCATACTCCAGATCTGGAGAGGGTATGGCCAACGACATGAGCAACGCGTCCGCAACCTGGGGTGGGTCATCACCTCTCATCCTGGGGGTGCTCCTTTGGCTGCTGGCCCGCGGGATCCCAGCAGGGTGGGGGAGTTGACAAGGACTCAGGTGAAGACCCTCAGCAGAGCACTTGGCTGATAAATGGGCATTCGCTGCCTTGGTGAGGGAGAAGCTTACAGAGGAGGGGTCCCCACAAAAACAAACGGAGGAGCGGAATGCGAGACCCTGGGGAACATGGGGGCTGGTCCAGGATTGAACGGTCCATCCCGCGAGACGCTGGCCTCACCTTTAATGTCATGTCATCAGAGCAGGACGCTAGCAGCATTCCTGAAGGATCCCACTTGATGGCGTTGACCTCATTCTGCAAAGGGGGAAAGGATTTCAGGAAGAAATGGAAGCCTGTGTGTAGGAAGCAGTAAGGCGGCCCTCCACCAGAGGGCAGTGGTGCTCTGCCAGCCTTGCCCAGGCCTGGGGATTTACCCTGCAGGTCCCGTAGGTAAGAACCACACCCGTCAGCCTCCTCCTCGCGTATTTCCTTAACGAAAAAAATCTCTACTAGGAAGAAAGCCAAATGAAGAATTCACATATAACAAGGAGGGAAAATAAAACCAATAAAACCACAGCTAGTTCTGAAGCTGGACTTTGGATACCATTTTCCTGTGCGCTTTAAATGCAAGTGCCGCTCCCTCTTATCTACATCCAAGATGGTCTCAGGCAGGCCCAGTGGTATGCACCAGCAATCCCAGGAGGCTGAGGAAGGATGGCAGCAAGTACGAGGACAGCCTTAGCAACTTAGTGAGACTATCTCAAAAAAAAAAAAAGGGGGGTGGGGGCTACTGGGTAGGCTCAGAGTCCCCTGTACCTTACACACACACACACACACGATAGGTGGACAGGGGGGTCAAGACGGGACACAGGATTGCCCGGCTAGACAGCAATGCAACCCAAAGGCACAAATCCACACCCACAGGCCACACAGAAGTGTCAGGGAAACGGACCCACGCTGTCTTGGACAGGAAAACACACGCAGGAGGAACAAAATCCTCCCCGGGGCAGTGTGGGCATCCGTCTCCGCTAGCAGCTGTGGAGAGGAGCGAGCCCACGGGCAGATCTCTTAGGGCTGCTGAGCACCGACGTCCATCCCCAGCTGAACCCCCCTTCAGTCCTCCAGGGAGAAATGGCTTCCTTCCCAGGAGTGGAACTTCCTCCCTCTGCCTCCCCAGTCACAATCCCTAGGAAGCGTCCAGAAGCAGCTCATTCACAGGTCTCGGGGAGGAGCAGGCTCCATCCGTCCCGTTCAGCCAGAGCTCGGCTTAGGAGCAGCAGCAGCCATCAAGACCCGCTTCTAGAGCCAAGTGGGGGCAAAGGCAGGGCCGCTAGAAATCAGACCACGGGCAGCCCCTTAACAGCGATGGACACAACAGGGCCAGAGGACAGCTCCGACCAGAAAAACGCGGCACAGCCCCAGGGAGACACGGGCAGGACTGCTGATGCCCAGGCTCGGGAAGCCCCTTCTGTGGGACTCGCGGGGCCAGAAGCTGGGAGAGGTGGGTGCCCACCAGGGAAGTGAGCAAGGCTGGGGACAGTGGCACTCCCAGTGGCACTCATGTCTCAAGTTACAGCAGCGGCATGATGGCTTTGATCTCCTCTGCCCTCTGGGGATGCTCCAGCACTGAATGCCACTCTGGGCACGGGTGACAAAGACGGAGAAGCCTTGGCCTTGCCTCTGCACGTTCTGCAGGAGGTGGACACAGAAGCAAGCCAAGCCAGCCACCGAGGCCAGGAGCGAGGCTGTGCCCTGGGCACCACACCCAGCTAGCGCCATGACACTCCCAGAGGGGCCCGGGACTTCTGAGTGACGTCTTGGGAGATGGGAGGGGCTTGTGAGAGACAGAGGGTCACCGTGTGGTGCTCAGTCACAGGTTTCCCAGGAGGACCTGGGCACAGCTGCTTTGTGGACGTTCCTAGGCACCCCGAGGACAGACCCGGTAGAGCCCCAGAGGCCACGCTACGTGATCTGGTAAGTCAGCTGTTCATTATCAACAGCTGTTCTCTGATCTTTCCCACGATCTTTGGTTGTCTTATGATTTCTCCATATCATGTATCATTAATGTGGCACCTGGGGAGCCCTAAGTCCAGGGGTGCAGGTGTGGGCCTCTTGATGCTGGTTCTGCTTGGGGTTTGCCAAACCTCGTGAGCCTTGATGTTTTCCATCACAGCAAAACCCAGTGGTAGCAGCTTCAAGTTTCCTGTTGTCTCTTTTCTTTCCCCGATACACACAGATGTTCACAGGACTTGCGATTGCCCCACACATCAAGACTCAGTTCAGTTTTTCAAGGTTTTATCTATTCTTTGGCCAATTTCTGTGCGCTCCTTTCCGAGTCACTTTACTTGTGCGATGTCCAATCTGCCATTCAACCCATCTACCAAGATCTCATTTCAAGACATTCATATTTCCTCAGTTCTCAACTTTGTTCATTCATTCACCTTTTTGCTTTACTGGGGACTCAACCCCTGAGCTACATTCCCAGCCCTTTTTAGTTATTGAGACAGGATCTCGCTAAGTTGTTGAGGCTGGCCTCGAACTTGCAATCCTCCTCTTGCCTTAGCCTCCCAAGTTTCTGGGATGAGTTGTCTATCACTGTGCCTGGTTCTCATTTATTTTTTTAGTTTGTTCTAATTAGTCACACATGACAGTAGAATGCACGTTGATGCATGATACACAAATGGAGTATAACTTCTCCTCCTCCTGGTTGTACCATGATGTGGAATCACTAGCCGCGCACTCATATGCACACAGGATAACAACGTCTGATTCTATTATCCTTCCTACCCACACGCCCCTCCACTCTTCACTCCCCTTGGCCTAATCCAAAGAAACTATTCTTCGTACCCCTGCTCCCGCAAAAACCCGGTTCTCCATTCTCAGTGAACATTGTCTGTCTATTCATTTATTATGAGCATCTTTTTCTTTATGCCTTTACATACTCTCATATCGACTTAATGGCCTTCATTGCAAAATCTGACGTGGGGTCACGTGAGGGAGTTTCCATCATTCCCTACCCACAACCGGGTTGCAGTGACCACAGCTCCGGTGCAAAGGGTTCTAGCACTGGTCTGCCGTGACATCGCCTCCTTCTAGGTGTGAGGCAAACGCTCCCACATTGCATCCTGGTGAGCTGGGCTGACCACGGGAACCCCCACTTACTGTGTGCCCTTGGAAGGTTTTGACTGGGCGGTCACAGCCGAGCCTGCACACATGGATGCACATGTCCGTGCTACAGGAGGCAAAGGTAGTGTTGTTCTGCCAGTCCACGTCCAGAGCGGGGGCTGCGGGAGGGAAGAGACGCATGCAGGTGTTAAGTGCGCACGTGGCTAGGGCAGGTCGGAAGAGCCAAGAGCACAGCAGCAACTTCACAAAACCATTCCCAGTGTGAACAGTATCTTTCCCGCAAGGACCTTAAAGTCGTTTCTCAATTTGCAGGGACAAGGTTCCTCTGGAAAAGTCCTAAGGCCCTGGCTGTGCCCGGGGCAGGCAGTGTCCCAGGCATGAGTGGAAGGGTACTCGCTATGGAAACAGCATCTCCTGTGCCTCCAACTTGCTGGGTTCCAGCAGGGTGACTGTGTGGGGCTAAACTGATTTGTGTTCACACAGGGAGGAGATAAAGGACAGGAGAAAGCCTTCCATCCTGTCCTTTGTTCAAAATGCTTCAGTTAGAAAAATGTGCAATCCACTGACCACGCCACTGATTGGTTATTTTTTTTGGGGGGGGGTGGGGTGGGGGCAGGAGGGTACTGGGGATTGAACTCCAAGGCACTTTACTACTGAGCCACATCTTCAGCCCTTCTTAGTTTTTATTCTGCGACAGTCTTGCTAAGTGGCTTAGGGGCTCATCAAATTGCTGAGGCTGGCTGTGAGCTTGGGATCCTCCTGCCTCAGCCTCCCAAGTCACTGGGACTACAGGAGTGGACCACTGCACCTGCTTTGATTGGTGTTTAACTGGAGCCAACAGCGATCCCTTCGGACATGGATCAGGACTCGTGAAGAACACCCTTCTTCACTCCTGGGTCCCTCTCACATGAAGATGGCTCCAATAGCAGCTCTGCTCTGCTCTGCTCAGGGCTTTGAGGATGGTACTTCCCCCTCGCCTCACCCGAGAGGCACAGGAGGACCAGGCAGGAACCAGGCTGCCGACATCACAGCCAGCAGGGTCTGAACCCATGTTCTGTCCCTGACTGCAACCGCCCAGGTCTCAGATGCAACTGTGCACATCAGTGTAGGGCCTCAGGTGAGCATGAACGAGGGGCGGCATCGAGTGACTGGCCAAGCTGGGGAGAGATGTGGATGGTATAGCACGGCAGTCACACCATCCTGTTTCCAGGGAAGTGTGGCTTCAATTCTTCCCTCAAGTCCTTGGAGAGGGGTCTGGGCATGGCTCTCTCCCCACCTCCCCTTGGGTACCCATGGCTCAAGCGGTCACTCCTCACTCCAGGTGGCTGCCGGCCTCCTATGTTCCTGCCTCCAGTGGAGGTACCAGCCCACCGGGCCATCTCCTAGAGTCCTTCACACACCAGGAGAACAGGGATGGAGAAGTGGGGGCAAGATGGCCACGGGAGGAGCAGCAAAGGACAAGGGTAGCTCCTCATGGGATCTTCTCTACTACTGAGGGGCCTTAGCAAGCTGGGCGTGGTGGTGCAAGCCTGTCATCCCAGCAGCTCGGGAGGCTGAGGCAGGAGGATCACGAGTTCAAAGGCAGCCTCAGTAACTTACCAAGGCTCTCAGCAATTAAGCGAGACCCTCTCTCTAAATACAAAAAGGGCTGGGGATGTGACTCGGCAGTCGAGTGCCTCTATTCAGTCCCTGCCACCAAAAAAAAAAGTCTTTGCCTTGACACTTTCTCCATTTCTCTTTTTGGGTACACGGTGCTGGGGATGGAACCCAGGGACCTGCACAGGCTAGGCCATCACCTGCCACTCAGCCACATTCCCAGCCCTTCTACCTTCTAGAGGGATCACAAGGCCTGTCAGTAAGATGACCTCTAGGACCGTGTTCACAGCACCTGACTGAAGAGGACTTTAGGGAGGTGAGCTGGGTCTCGTGCTAGTTCAGTAATCCCTAAAGTTCTCACTTCTTCCACGTGGTCACCAGAAGTCACTAGGTGGCCCCCTCCCCACTTTTTAAAAATATCTGGGATTGAACCTGGGATGCTCTACCACTGAGCTACATCCCTTCCCTTTTTATTGTGAGACAGGGTCTTGCTAAGGGGCTGGGACTCCAGGCGTGGCCCACAGCACCTGGCTTTATTTTTTATTTCATTATTAGCAGAGTTCTAGAGCTTCACTATATTCTATTTCCAGTGGAAACTATTTTTGGTGGAAAGAAAGGAAGAGCCACCAGGGGCCCCAGGATCCCCCCGCAGAGGGGGTGGGGCAGGGGCACTCTGCAAGGGCACCTAGAGCAGGCCCCGCCCACCTGCTTCCCTGAGCACTTGGAAGTTACGTGCTACAAAGTAGAGGCCCCACTTGAAGCCGGGCACGTGAAGGAAACAAGAGGGTACAGTCTGCTGGAAGCTCGGGGGGCAGCAGTCACCAGCGGATCAAGGCGGAACCTCATCCTACGTGCATTGCTTGGGAGGAGAGTCCAGCTGCCTCTGGTGTGGACAGGCACGTTCCTGCTCTTCTTTACAACATCACGAATTCCTGGGGCAGCCTCTGCACCTCATCCCCCCCCCAGCAACAGGAACCAGCAAACCTACCTGAGTGGAAGGGGAACTGCTGCTTGGCTTCTCCTGTGTGGGCGTCCCAGATGATGGTTGTCTGTGCTCCGCAAACAAAGAAAAGAGTTAGTGACCCGTCTCCTTCCAGCGCTTTCTCTAGGAAATCAGCAGTGTCCGATAGAGAAGGCAAGTCATAAGGTCCCAGTAACATTACAAAAAGAAATTAGTGAAATTTTAATAACACCATCCCTGTCACGCAGTGTAGCCGAAATGTTTTAATATGTGATCAGGAAAAAAAAAAACCAAAACACTAGTGAGATACCTGGCATTGTGTTTTCCCATCCTAAGTCTGATACGATGGGTGTTTTACACTTGGCCACACAGAAGCAGCTCACCAGCTACAGGTGTTGTCTGGTGGTCACAGACTGCTGACCCCACACTTGAGAAATCTACAACTGGTAAGGGATTCCCTTTCATCCCAAAGCTTAAAAAAAACCACTAAAAAACGCAGCAGCAAATCTTATCTAAATAACTGAGGTTCCAAGTGCTTCAAATAAGCGATGCTAAACCTGTACGAGATACAGCAGAATCCCTGGACTACTCTGGGGCTGGCACCAGGAAGGGGGAAAGGTGACCTTTATGTCAGGAGACCCAGGAAACCATGAATCCCACTAACTCATTAATGCCGGGAAGACAGACATCTAGGGAGTGAGCCACGGGCAGGTCAGCCAGTCCCACTGGGGTTACGTTTTCATCAGCAGCAATTTTCAACTTAATTTGAAACTTTATTTAAAGACTTAGCTTTAAGAAGTAGTTGTATCTTGTGTGCATTGTAAAGGGAAATCTCAGAACACTCAGTTTCTTTTTATTTTATTTTAATTGGTACCAGGGATTGAACCCAGAGGTCTGAGCCAGAATCCCCAGCCCTTTTTTATATTTTATGTAGAGACCGTGAGACCCTGAGTAACCCAGTGAGACCCTGAGTTGCTGAGGCTGGCTTTAAACTCACGATCCTCCTGAGCCCCTGGGATTATAGGTGTGTGCCAGCGTGCCCGGTAAAGGTAGCTTCTTTACAACTTGGTACTCCTTGGTTTGGGGTCAGCTTGACCAACTTCTGTGTGTGTACCTTTTTTTGTAGCGAGCAGTGAACCCAGGGGCACTTAACCACTGCACCATAGCACCGTGTGTGTGTGTGGTGGTATAATTCCCCTTGATTTATTCATGTACAATCAAACCTGGCACTGCACAGAATATATAAACTCTTTCATCATTCTAGGATACAGTTTCACATAAGATATTAGTAATTGGATTGTTAATACTTATGTTTAATATATATTGGACAAAAGAAAACATCACCTACACAAGGATTTTTAATAAGAAAATCTTAAATTATATTTCAGAAATTTTGAAAAATCTAACTACTTTCTGTTAAGCACAAACTGAAGATCATTAATACCAGTAATACCACCCCCCTCAGTGGGTTTTACTGTCAAGAGCACCGATATCCTTATTCCTGCCATGGTTAACTAGGTCATCGTGACAGATTACGGACCCAAACTGTGTAGTTCATCACGAATATCCTGCTCTGTACAAGGGGGAGGACAGCACTAGTGTCTGCCTCCTATCTCGGGAGCCCTGGGTGGGCTAACACATGTAGTGTAACATGTCAGATAAATGGTTGTCATTTCCATGAATTACTTTAATAATCTGGCCAGCGATTCCCAATGGAACCAAGCGTCTGTGTGCAAATCACTTGACCACTTCTAACAAATGGACGTGGTTGTGTACCAATAAAACTATTTATGGAACAGCCACAGGGCCTGATTGGGGTGTTGACTGCAGTTTGCCCAGCCCAGATACCATGTCTCTAAGAATGTGGTCATGTGTCGAGGTCGACTATTATATTGGCTACAGGTTCCTATGACGGCTTTGCAAGAATATGGATGGAAGATGGCGAGTCCTGCGTCTGGTATTTTATGTGCAGTTTTAGAACTGGAATGAACACAAAGTAACATAGTAAAGCTTCCAAATTATCCTGCAATCATTACAGAAATCCAAGCCTGTGGGAGACCAAATGGCTTACAGGATTCAGGAAAGGCCTCTACCCGTGTGTAAAACACCAGTGGATAGATTCCCCACCCACCCAACGCCTGTTTTTGGTATTTCTTTTCCAAAGCCCTGACTTACACAATTCCTGCTGGCTCTTAGACGTGACATCACTACCCACTCAAGGTTCTTGGAAGGCCATGACACCAGCCAGCCCTGTCACCTGACCATGGAGGACAATGGGCCCCAGGGAGGAGAGATGGCCAGGTGCATCAGACTTTGGCAGCCAGGAAGCCTGTGTCTTATGCTCTTTCCCCCAGAGATGGCTCCTACAGGCACCTGGATCTAATGCCATCACTTCCCTGTCACAGTGCTGCCTCAGGGACACAGTACTGAATTCCAAACTGGCTCCAGGAGCCATGGGGAGTCCCCCACACGCTCCTGCTGGGTCTCGGGTTACCCTGTCGATCCCTGGACGGCCCAGAGGGGAAAACCTCTTACCCAAAGGCCCCGGAAGCAGATAGGTTAGAAATTAACAGATCAAACCCACAAAAACAATCGGCACCTGTAAGTCCTTCAATAAGCCCAAGAACTCAAAAGCCACAAGATTAAAAGTAAGTGCGCATCTTTGCTGGGTGCGGTGGTACATGCCGATAATCCCAGTGGCTCAGGAGGCTGAGGCAGGAGGATCTCAAGTTCAAAGCCAGCCTCAGCAAAAGCGAGGTGCTGAGCAACTCAGTGGGACCCTGTCTCTAAACACAAAATAGGGCTGGAGATGGGGCTCGGTGGTCAGGTACTCAAGTTCAATTCCTGGTACCAAAGAAAGCAAGTCTGTATTTCCAGGTGGAAGGGATGAAGGGCTTGGGGTTGGTACTCACTTTGTCCACACCAGCACTCAGAATATAGTTCCCCTTTTTGTTCCACTTCAAGGCAAAGATGGGGCCTTTGTGCTGCCCTAAGGTGCTGGCCAGGTTACCTGTGGGGTAGGAAAGACGAACACGATGACATAAAGTCTCCATGGTCACACCGGGAAGCACCTTCCACTGGCCCTGGCGCGAGGGACGCAGGACTCACCATCTTCCGTCCATATTCTTGCAAAGCCGTCATAGGAACCTGTAGCCAATAGTGTCCCATCGCTCTGGGGGCAGAAAGACAGATCCACAAGAACACTTGGCATCTCCACCAGGGGACGTCCCCGGGCCCCTAGGCCTGCCTTCCCACCACAGGGCTCCTGAGCAGTGCCACCTGTGAACACACGCTCGACGGGAGAGCAGGCTCCCTGCCCACCCAGCTCGCTGCTGGCCCAACGCAGCCTCTTCACCAGCTCTGGGAAGGGAGGACCCTAGGCCAGCACCCAGGGGACCCCCAAGAGACCGCCGGCCTGCGTGCACAGGCTGCCCTGCGGCTGGCGGATGATGCTTACGTTCCAGTCCAGCGAGGTCACATCCTTGTTGCTTGGGACGTCGTGTCCCCCTTCCCGAATACAGTGCCTCAGCACCAACTGTGTGGAGCCCCCGTTGCTGTTCTCATTAAGGTTCCATATCCTGGCGGTCGAGTCTCCGGATCTGCAGGAAAAAACCACAATGAAAACACGGGAGTGTTGGGCCTGTGGCTGGCTGGACGGGAGGGAGGCTCACGGGTCTGTGGCTGGCTGGACGGAGAGGGAGGCTCACAGGCCTGAGGTTGGACGGGAGGGAGGCTCACAGGCCTGAGGTTGGACGGGAGGGAGGCTCACGGGCCTGTGGCTGGACGGGAGGGAGGCTCACGGGACCCACTCTCTGGCCGGGTCAGCCACACATGGCAGGTGGTCTTCTGCGTGCAGTTCTTCATACCCCTCTCAGCTTCCCTCCTCACCATCTTTGCATGGACTAGTTTTAGATGTCTTTGTACGGCTTCCCACCCCACAGGTAAAAAGGGTCTGGGGTGATGGCTATTCCACAGAACAAGACCCACACAGAGGCGGGGCCCAGAGAGGCCCACAGCAGGAAGATGTTACAACCCTAAGGCAGGACCCTGGAGATGAGCAATGACCCGGGACCTCTGTGCCGGAGCACCCCCATCCTGAAAGCCTTACCCAGAAGCTAGGAGATCGCTGACAGGATTCCAGGCACAAATGAACACCTCGGACTCATGGCCCCTAAGGACTGTGGCTTTGTTGGGTGGAATTTCAACATCCCCATCTATTTCCATTGGTTTCGAATGGTTATCTGCCAAGAAGCACATAAAGACACGTGGCTTAGCAAGATACAAAAGAGGTGTGTTCTCAGATACTTTTGTCTCAGAAACACTTTGCTTTTACGTATTAAGGCAGTACCAATCTGAGGATTATCACTAATTTGTGGCTTTTACATGATTTAAAAAGTATTTCACGTTTCTTTCTAGTTTGATGGTGCTGTGGTTCACGTGCTAGAAGTTTAGTGCCCAGGTGGGGAGATGAGCAGTGGAGAAACCTTTAAGAGAGCACCTCTGTCTGGCCATGCAATCTCTTCCTCTAATATGTGTACCCCACCATACCATCCACCGTGATGTGTCGGCACCATGTTGTTTGGACAGTTAGCTTCTAATACTATGAGCTAAATACATGTCTTTTCTTCAATAAAGCATTCAGCCTCAGGTATTTTGTTATAGTAACAGAAAACATTCTTCAAATTTGAACAAAGAATAAAGACAGCTATTTATAACTGAAGCCCGCCAACCATGGCCTATGGGCCAAATCTAACCCACTGCCACCAATTTTTATAAACAAAGTGTGACTGGAACAGTCACAATTCTGTTTGTGCACTGCCTGTGGCTACCCTTTCAAGCTGAATTACTTCCCCTAAGAATTTACATGTTTAAGCCCTAACCTACAATACTTTATGAGATTATTATATTTATACACAGGGACTTCAAAAAGATGGTTACAAGACAGCAACAGAGCAGTGTGAGCATCAACCAACCAGCAATAGTCAACAGCTGGCTGTACAATGGGGTCAAGAACAGAGCACCTTTTTGTGAAGGTATTTGGAAAACCCCAGAAATAAGAGGATTCCTTTCCTCTTCAGTGTTCGGTTAACCTGAGAGTGTACTGCTTCTATTTCAACATGTAAAAGTAAGAGAATGCCCGGCCGTCCTGCGCAGACCGAGACCCCTCATACAAAGTTCTCACGTCCTGCTGGAGGAACACCAGGGCTGTTAGGCGCCGACACTTCTTTTATCTTCATCAGACGAGGAAAACGTTTTCCACCTTTGGAGAGCATTTTCCCACTCCCCACTCCTGATGGCAACAGGAGCGCTGGCACCCTCGGTAGCCATGCAGGGCGCGGGAAACGTGAAGCTCCCGGGAGGTGCGGAAGCCCGGCTTTGCACTTGGGAAAGTCCCCACCTCAACAGCCTGGTCTGGGGATTGTGTGTGAGGTGCGGGGCCTGAGAAGTGGACCGAGGTGGTGATACTGTGGAATTCCAATCTGCACAATGACCCAGCCTCCAGAGCGGCCAGCCAGGGTGACTGTGTGCAGACCTGGCCTATACAGAGCACAGAGTGCCTGCTCCTGGGCCCACGGTGGGCAGCCAGCCTCCAGAGGTGCCGGCCAGGGGTGGCGGACCAACCAGCAAGGAGCACACCTTGGGGCAGGTGGTCAGCAGAGCGTCTTCTAGCTAGACACTGTCTCAACACACCAGGCTCTCACCCTGGGTCCCTGGCCAGGGGCCTCCCTCCTCTCTGGCCTAGTTTTAAATAACTTCAATGTAGGAGTTAGTCATCTTGATGGTGAAAATAAACCAGGCTAATGCTGCTGCTAGAAGTCCCCGAAAGGCCCATTTTTGCTGAAGGCTTGTGGTACTATCGGGAGGTGGAGGAGTCTTTCAGAGGATGGGACTTGTGGTACCAAAGTTAGGTCACTGGAGATGTCACCCTGAAAGAAATGGCGGGCCTCCCCTCTGTCCATGTCCCTCTGCCTCCTGGCTGGCGATAGAAGTGGTTTGCTTTGCCACATGCTCCTCCCCTGGCCAGAGGCCTAAAGCAACGGAGTTGCCCGATCTTGAACTGGAATCACCAGCACTGTGAGCCAAAATAAACCCTTCCACTTTATGAGCTGCTCACCACAGGTATTTCATTATAGTAACAGAGCCCTGCCAGAGAACCATATCAGAAAGTGGCCGTTTCTCTCTCAAATTGCAGGACAGAGAATATTGTGGGTCAGAGTTAAGTCTAACTTCAGATCTGCCCACAGTGTCCACTGCAGTGGTAGAGTGGAGAGGCTGCCTTACTGCGAGACAAGAGCTGGCTGTGGATGCCAGGGTGGGCATGGGACTCGGGGGACAGAAAGACATACCCATGCCTTCCAGGCTTGGGAATAACATGGATACCACTTTAGAGTTTCTAAAGATTTAAAAGAAATGGGTGCAGTTTAAACACTTGCAAAATTTCTTCCTTGGGAAACAATGATTTCTCAAAGTTTACTAATTATAAATGCTTTTTGGTGACATAAGATGACAAAAACAACTACATCTATTGTGTCTGCTTCTGAAAACTTGAGGGTCCTACCCCACTTCAGTGAACAGTGACTCTTCTGTACAAGCCAGATATTTTCTCTTTCGTCTCTATTCCACAATTTTCGGCCTTATGAATAGTGATCCTGTAGGATGCGACTGGGGGTCTTTATCTTGTGTTGGGTGATGGCCTTTGTGCCACCTGACTGTAACCTGTGGATGGTAAATAGCCACAGAGCATGGCCATGGGTTGACGCCTCAGAGGCCATTAGGCAGCTCTCTGCAAGAGGGGAAGCCGCGGCAATGGGACTATGGGGTCAGATGCCAGTGTCACATTTTCCTTCACCCTCCAGCTGCATGAAGGAAACCAGTTTCTAACTAAGGAAGCACACACGCACTACATACACACACATGCACACACTCAGCCACACCACACATGCACATATACAAACATGCACATGCATGTGAACTCGGACCCCCAAGCAGAACCTCTGGAGTTCATAAGGATCTCTGGTTTATCTGCTCAACATTCCTGAGCAAATGCCTAACAGGGACTAACCTCCAGGGGCAGACCAAATAAGATGACTCCCCATGCCTGGGCGGGGTGCGCGAGAAGTCACGGTGAGCTCAACTCTTATCCCACCGTTTGGCCTAAAGCCTGAACAGTGCGAGGCTCGAGGCCGGACCAAAGGCCTCTGGGAACAGCACCTTTGCTCTTGTTGGACAGGCCTCATACTGGACGTGGCCTGGATGGGCTTGGGTTCTCACAAGAGCAAGATCCCCTACAACCAAGGATCCTGCAGCCAAGATGAATTTGGATGGGAAAGGCGGCCGGCCGTTTGCAAAGCCCTGCGAGGCGGTCCTGGCGCAGGAGCGCGATGTGCCGGGAGCCCGGGAGCCCCGACGCCCCACACTTACTTATTGCGTGCGCGCCGTTCTCCTCCCCGTTCACCGTGGCCTCTCCATTCTTTGGTGGGTTTTGCTGGGAAACGGCTGCGGGGGCTGGGGTGGCTGCGGTGGCGGTGGCGGTGGCCGTGGCTGCAGCGGCTGCGGCGGCGGCGTTGGCCTGCTGCTGCTGCGCGAGCTTCTCCCTGAACGCCTGCTGCCGCGTCTGCACCACGTCGGGCATCACGGCGTCGATCAGGGACAGGGACTCTATGGGGCGGCCGTCGAACACCGTGCCATCCTGCGGAAGCAAGCTGGTCAGCTCCCGCGCACGGGGACGCCCCGTCCGGGGTGCAGTGGGCACCCACGGGAGCAGGCTGCAGGGACTCCGTGCAGGGGCGGCCGGTCCTGGAGACCCAGCTGCAGTGCTCAATCCCGAGTGGCAGCTCTGACATCCGGTAAGCAGCGAGCCACATCTGGGCATTAAGGACACCTGCCCGGAACCACGTCATCCCGTGACAGTCTGCATCCTGGGGGACATTTCTGGAGCCACCGGGTGGAGGGAGGTGGCGGGGTGGCGAGGTGCTGCACTGCCCTCGGGTGGGTGGAGGCCAGGAATGCAGCCCCACGTCCTCTAGCACACAGGGGGTTTTTCCAAGAGACCCCTGCCCCCAGCGCAGAATCTTGAGGCTGGGAATCCACCCCCGTGCTAAGGGCTGCTGGAAAGTCTGTGAATAACCAGCCACTTAGGTGGGAGGGGGAACTCTTTGGTAGCATTAAGCACAATTTAGAAATGACTACGCCATTCAGCATTTGATTACCGGTGCGTTTGTCCACTTGATTTAATAAAATAAGCACTTGGGGCTATTTGGGATGACTTCCTGGGTTCCAAGGACGGCTCCGATGAAGCCATGATGTAACCCACAACAAAAATTGCTTGGTTCCGAGTCACATTTTTATGGATCGCCGTTTGATTCTCTGGTTTGTATCAACCATGAAAAATTTCTCAACACACTTCAAAATACCGGAGGAAGTTCGTTCAGATATTTGAGTTGCATGAAATGCAACAAGCCTCCACGTTGCGTCTGCCGAGTGCTGAACTTGAATTACCTCCGAAATGAGGAGGAATTGAGGCACATCAGCCCACCCGATTTCTGATGACGATGCACTGTTTGAAATCACAGAAACTATAGGAAACGATATACACCGCCTCCCCAGCCCCCTGGACTGTAGCCGTGGAAGCACTGGCCGAGGCTGAGCAGTCCTGATGCTCCCAGGTGACCTTCCTCCTTCATGCAGTCCCACCCCAAACAGCTGGCCAAGGTGCCAGACGATATCTGCCCGCGGTAATGAAAACACCTCCTCATCTACATTCTAGAGCACACTGCCGCATTTTCTTAAATGACTGGAAACTTCTGCCAAGTGAGATCTTTCACCGACCTCTAGACACCCTGGCGTTTGGGTGGCTGAAACATCACGGAGGGATTTTGGCCTTGAGAGCCACAGGAAACGGGCAGGCAGAGGAAAATCAGATCACTACATCCCCCAATCTGAGAGCTTGTGGGGGACTAGGGGGGTCATGTGCTCATCTCCCCACGATTGCTGGTTCTACAGACACAGACCAGGTGGGGCCTGAAAGAGTCCGGCAGACCACTCGCACACAAGCAATGTTAAGGAGAGGAGGAGGACACTACCAAGGAAGGAGGAGCAAGAGGCAGGCAGACTGGGATGGTTTCCAAGACACAGGCTCGTGAAAAATGGCTGACGAATTCATGAGACAGAAAAGAAGATACATTATTTCTGAAATAAAGTTGAATAAAATGCTCTGAATAAGAAAGGCGTGTAAGGGTCAGACTAGTGTCAGAGAAAACAGGAGGGAGGGAGCCCTGGAAGGCTGGGTGTGCTGGGCAGGACAGCTCAGGGTAGGCTGTGGCCAGATCTCTGAGAAGGGTGGAGTTCAGTAAGGGTGGGATCCAGGTGAAGATGGCCAGAGACTCTACGGATGTCAGGAAGCCAAAAGAATCTTCTCTAGAGAATCTCCAGTACAGAGACGGGTGAGGAAGCCCTTTAGAACCTGAATGATCAATCCTCCAATGTGCTACAAAACTGGCACCAACACTCTCTCAATCTGAAAGGCACCAGGGGACACACGCGAATTGGTAGGATTCAGTTCACTGCTCCATCCTCAGCCTCTGAATATAATCATAAAAATAATCCTGACAACCTCTCACTGGAGGATCACCCTCTCTCCTCCTGACGCTCCTTCCGGTCGTGCCTGCGATTCTGCATATTTACATGGAAAACACAGATCCCCGTAAGCGGGACAGTGAAGGCTGCAGAAGCCCACCCCGAGACGGCCCAGGGAAGCCCGGACTCCGTCCTGCACCCTGCTCATGCACATCTAGATGCAGGGCTCTGCGGGCTAGCGGTGGGGCAGGCCCCGGGGTGTGCCTACCTCGTTGATGCTGATCTCGGCCTCCACATACTGCAGTCCCTTCTGAAGGATGGAGATGAGGGCAGCCGGCGGCACTAGTGTCCCGTTGATGTTGGACTGGCTGATGTGGCTCTCGATCCCAAACGTGAAGGCCGAGTGGGAGAAACCTGCCGGAGGAGGAAGCCAAGCGGGTGGAGGTGAGAGGACATGAGGCCAAGGTCACCCCGTGTGGGTGCGAGGTGGGAAATGCCCACAACAGAACAGCCTTCCCAGCCCACAGATGTGCCTTGACTAACGTGGGGGTGACGCCTCCATAAACCCGCGGGAAGCTGGAAATGCACAGAGCAGCCCTGACCCGCCGGCACCACAGCTTCGCCCGGCCAACCGTAGGGGCGTTCAGAACCTTCATCACCTGGCATCTGGGCAGAAACCATTAAGGCAAAGCCCGCTCTACAACCAAGCGCTGAAGTCTCTCCTGGACCTGCACAGATGGCGCTGCAGTTTAGGCTGGGTGTCCTCCAAGGCCCCTGTGTTGAAGGCTTCATCCCAGCCCAGAGTGCTAACAGGTGGTAGTGGAACCTTTAATAGGTAGGGCCTACTGGGAGGAAGTTGGCTTGCTGGGGGTGAGGCCTTGGAGGGGATATTGGGACCCCAGCCCTCTCCTGTCTGCGGTGAGGTGAGTGGTTCCTTCCTCCCTATGCTCCCACCATAGGTCGAGAGGCAACAGGGCCAAGCAACCATGGACCAGAAGTCTGAAACCGTGAGTCAAAGCAAACCTTTCCTCCGTATAAGCCAAGTATCTCAGGCATTTTGTCACAGTAATGGGAAGCTCACACTGATGGGCATCTTGTACGTTATGGGATCTAAAGACACAAAACACAGTATCCAAAAAGTGCCGACAATATAGCATACTGTACGGAATGGGCTTCCATCTCATGACCACATGGGTGACAGGGAGCTACAGCTATCTAGAGAGAGGGCACGTGCCCTTCTATAGCTTGCTTGGGGAAAGAGCCAAATTCAAAATTTGAAGTAAGGTTTCCACTGAATTCCTATTGCCTGTGCACCACCGTGAAGCTGAAAAACTAAGCTGAAACATCTGTAAGTTGCCACCGACTATATGAAGAAGCAGAACACAGCACGGCGTGCCCCAGTGCCCTGGGCTGGATGTGTCTGTTACAGAAATTCAACCTCAGGCTTCCACCGACTCCTGGTTTGAATTGCTCTTTGCCGTAGCTCAGTGCTGGTCTGTGCCCCAGCTGCAGTGCACGTGAGGAGCTGTCCCTCAGCCCAAGAAGAGGGCAGCCGGTGCCTGGCTCAGAATGCTCACAGGCAGGCGGGGACAGACAACCACACAAACACCCCAGGGAAAGAGGCTGCTCAGGCCAGCGGGTGTGGCATCGAGCAGTTCTCCGGAAGCTGGGGATTCTCCCTTTTCTGTTTTTGCTTTCTTGACGCATTATAATGATGCATAACCTGGGATCCGTCCATGTGCTTAACGGTTTGATCCGTCTCATTCCCCAGCACCTCCAACATGCCAGGCACGTGCTCTACCGCCCAGCTACACCAGCCCTTTCCCGATTTCTTCTCCTTGTCTCCAAACGCCAGCTGCTAATAAGCAAAATGCTTGAAAAATTCCAGACGTTTTCAGATAAGCTTTGGATGATGGTACTTGAAAGATGGATGTTAGAAAACACAAAGAAAACAGCTCTGCAGGGGAGGGCATGCGAGACTGGGGGACTGAGGATCAGGGACCTTCCACAGCCCTTTCTCGGGGACAGAGGGGTAGCACTCTACTGACAGATGCCTGTGGCACGTGTTCTCACTCCTGCTTTCTTTGTAAAGTGACCTCTGTGGTTAGGAGCAAGCACTCCCAATTCCCCCGTTAGGAAGTTCTGCTCACTATGACAGCATCACTGGCCTGCAGGCCACAGACCTCCCTATGCCAGAGGAGGGGCCTCTCAGCCTTGCTCGGCCCTGGCCTCTTTCAGCCAGCCAGACGGGGTCAGCCATGGACCCTGTGGCCCTCTGCCTAGGCCCCTCTGCCTCTCCCCCTCCACACATAGGCTGCCGTCGCAATAACCCATCTGCCCACTAGGGGGGAATGTTCCTCCACGTCGGAGACTGCCGTGTGTTCTCCTCCTCCCCTCAACCCACATCGCCTGGTTACACACAGAATCCGGAGCTTGTATTTATCTAATAAAGTAATATGGTGGTTGCTATTCATTTTACAATCAGTCGCACAGAATCTTGCATCTCTCTTTACAACACCACCACTACCTAATTAGGTTGCTGTTCAGAATCCCTCTCCACTGCTCTGTTTAGATAGAGGCTGGGCCTCTAGGAGGCAGTAAGAACTAGATGAGGTCAGGAGTGGAGCCTGCAAGACTGAGTCCCGGTGGTTTACAAGAAGAGAAAGAATCCAAAGACAAGGGTGTGCTGCCCGTCTCCTGTGGCGAGGTGAGTGCGCCCCTCCTCCCTATGCTCCCACCATAGGTCCACGTCTCCTGCCTCCTGCCATGTGATGCTCTGCACCAACAAGGCCATTGACAGAAGGAGCCCCTCGACCTTGGACCACCACACCACAGTTAAAACGAAACTCTCAGGCTCAGAGGCAAAGCACTGGCCCAGCTTGCATAAGGCCTTGGATTCCATCCCCCAGCACTGCTAAACATAAATATTGCTTTCTTCTTTATAAAGTAACCTCCCTCAGGTATTTCATTATAGCAAAACAGACCAGTACATTGGAGGACATAACCAAAGTCCCTTTATGGTTGACTATCTTGACTCTCTCTCCACCTTCATTTCCTATGACCTCCCTACCCCAGCCCCAGGCCTTGCACAACCAATGACTGTATTATCCCAAGTTTTGGTCATTCAGGTTTCTGGAGAGGTGGAGACTACAAAAACTCCAATGGACAGAGGGAGCGGGGCCACAGTAGATTCTCGGCTTGACGCCCTGCTGCATGTTCAGGTCGAGGTGGCTGCTCTCTCCCAAGACTTTGTGATTCTCGTGGTTCACAGGAGCCATCGCCCTGGCCGTCTTCCCTTCTGTGTCCCGACTAGCTGACGCCACTGAGCATTGCAGGTCACAGGCCATTTCTCATCCTCCTGGTTTCACAAAAAGGCCCAGGGAAGGACTGGGCACGCATTGGCCCCCGACAGGGCTGGTCTCATACTGACCCTGCTGCAAAAACCTACAGGAATCCAGGGGGGCCTCCTGCAGCCACTCTCTGCTCTACTTACCTGTGTACACATCAGGTTCCCCAGAGCTTTTGAGGGATCTGATCCATAAGCAATGGAACGAACATTGGAGGGACAAACCCACGTCACTCAGCTTGTAGGGGTGGGGTCACAAGACAACACTCAGCCACCACAGACCAGCATGATCTGCGGCCTGCACCCGAAACCAGCATTAACTGCTATTTAGCGGGTGCCAAGGGACTGTGTGAGGCCATCTTGGAAGACATGGCACCTCCAGATACGTCTCTTCCAGGGCCAGGCTTTCCTCCACCACCACCAGCACCCCACCCTCCCCCAAATGGACTCCAAGGCTAATTAACACGTTCAGTGTGCCCTAGTGGGGACCTCTCCATCTGCACCCGTCAGCCCTCCCTCGGTGTTCGACACAGCTCTGCCGTCCAGTGAGTCATACATAGAGTCCAAGATCAGAATGCAAGTGACAGACAGCACCCTAGCGTGGGCCATGGTGGAAGGTACCAAAGTAGTCAACAAGGGAGGAGAACGAGGGCTTGGCAGCGTCGTGATGGAAGGTTGTGTGAGGGCCATGGGTTGGTGACCTTGGAGCCAACCTCTAGGCCAGCCTGAAGCCAGCAGGCTCGCCACTTACAAGAGTGTCCCAGTGAGCCCACTCAGGGGTTCCCGACACACCTTGGCTGACATTCTTGGCCGTAGCGGAGGCTGCGTTCTGTGCACTGAAGGGTGCCAAGCAGCACTACCCTTGAGCTCTCCCCTCTAGATGCCAGTAGCATCCCTCCTCCCAGCCTGCCAATCAAACATGTCTCCAGACGTGTCCAATCGACCCCACCCTGGTTGAGAACCAGCGAGCTGGTTTTGATGCCCTCAAAAGGGGATGCCTCACTACCAGCAGCTCTACTCAACCCCCATTCCTGCTCGATTCTGGATTGCTGCCAGGGAACACCTATGTGGCCATTCCCCAGAGACTCCAGATAACTCACAGTACTGCTAGAGAACAGCTGGGTGAGCAAAAATATCGCCAGGCAGAAAGCCGAGGTACAACTGAGATGATCCAAGAAAGGCCTAAAACAAGGGCCACATTTTAAAAAGAATGGCCAAGTCCTGTCTGTCTGGAACAAAAAGGTCCTCCAGCCTCACAAGAGAAGACGACTGTTACGTGAATCTGTCTCACCTACCTGGGCAAGAAGAGTAGACTTAAAATACACCAAGAGCTCGTTTTGTTTCTTGTGATCGCCACACTGCTACAACACAGCCACGTCCACAAATGGCTTCCCAAACTGCTGGGAGTTAACACAGTGCACCATTACGCCCAAGCAATGCTGGCCCTTGGAAATAGCGCTTATTCAGCAGAGCAGACGCTTAATACTCAAGCAGCCGTGGGGGTGGGCTTTGCATCTCTGGCCCTAATCAACACCGAGGGCACCCATGTGCGGCATTAAGAGCCGAGTTCTCATTAAGCAGTTAGCAGACTTGCATACTTGGAATACTCAGACTCAAAGCCAATGGGCACAGGAGGTTTATTTCTAAACAGTCCGGGTGAAGGGTTGGCAAACTGAGGCCCATAGGGAGTCTGGCCCACTACCTGTGTTTTTAAATAAAGCTTTATTGGAACAAAGCCTCGTTCATGAGTTGCTAAATTGCCTATGGCTGATTTGAACCTTCCCTGGCAGAGTGCTAAAGAGTTGCGACAGACACCTCGCAGCCCACAAAGCTCAAGGGAAGCTGCTGGCCATCCTACCGCGCACACAGCAGCCTCCACCCCATGACCAAGAAGGATCTGGCCCCAAGTCTGAATAGTGCCAAGGTGGAGAAACCCCGTTTTCAGATCCCTCTTCCCCCCTGCCTAGTGTCCCTTCCTGATGGCAGCCTCTCTTGCCCTTCAACAGGAGTGGTCGCTGTCTTGTCCGAGCCCCATCAGCATGACTCCCTAGCCTTCTGTTTCCACGGT